AAAAAAAATGTAATTTAATTTGAGGGGAGAAATGAACTAGAATGATATATTTATTTGATCGTAGTTAGTTAGCTTACCCAAAACACCAGTAGTGGTAAGCAACAGCTGCATCCTTAATAACTACTAAGGACAGTACAGTACAGTCTCTCTGTCTCTATATATGTCTGTACTGAATACGAGCTGAGCTGAGAGATTAAATTTATATTTACGAGCGATCGAGAGGTGCTAATATACGTATATAATAATACATGTAGATAGAGAGTAATAATCACCGTACCTGATTTTGTGAGAGCAAGTAGCGGTTGTGGTGGGCAGACATGAGGTAGGGACAGGGCAGCGGCAGCGGCAGCGGCACCGCCCCACTTTGGTGTGCGAAGGGTGGTGGCCGCAAGAACCAGACCACCTCCTGCTTCCCTGCCGGCGACCCGGCAGCTGCCTGCATTCTGCTGCATCATGCATGTAAACGACGTATATGTACGAAAAACATACGTACATACATACGTCAATGATCATCTATCAGTACTTTGTTCACATAAATACATACATATATATAAGTGTGTGTGTGTGTGTGTGTGTGTGTGTGTGTGTGTGTGTTTATATCTATCCCATCCTATGTAGTCATGTAGGGTAGTGCACGGAACCTTCCGTTATCCAGTATGGATACTCCTAATTTTGATGCTATACTAGTGACGTACCAGCAGGTGGTACGCGGTACGTAGAGAGAGAAAGGGAGAGAAGAGGAATCAGTCTCGTGACTCACTGAGTAGTACGGTGTACCAGCTGAAGAGACACAATGAATACTACAACGACAGGCAGCAAAACAGTTAAAAACATCAGATTACACGAACAAAGATGCATGCAGTGCAGAGGAGCAGCAGCAGGACGCATGCATCTATCGTAGTCTTAGGTACACAAGGAATTAACTCCAATCTGGCACAGTGGCACACAGCCAGCAGGCTGCTCTCTCGTGGTCTGGGTCAGCTGGGACTCTGGGTGCCGGTACATAGCAGCTAGCTCTCACCATCCACTACGGAGCTAGCTAAATGGATGCCACGCACTCCTCCACCACACAAAGCACGCACAATATGCAAGTGCATGAAGGAGAACTATAGCTAGCTGTGAGCTCTATACTATAGTGCTGGAGCATGGTACCAGCACGCAGGCTTTCGGTCAAGGGCAATGGACGATGAACGGATGGATGGATCGGATAGCTAGATAGATGGATGGAGCTGCGGCAACTGCATCATGGATGCAGCTAGCAGCATGTCCCCCTCCTGTGCCGCACTGCCCTCCGTCCTCGTGTCTTCTTCTACTTGTTTCTTGCCAAGATTCCGGCCACCACTCTCTCGTCGTCGCACAATATAATGTGTATGACCGCCTGCTGATGATGGGGCGCAGCTAGCGCAGGGGGACAATTGATATGGATCTGAATGACAATGAATGAATCGTGCATGCATCACAACGGAAGACGACTACTACTCACTACCGGTGGTCGCCGGCCGGCCGGCTGGGCAGCAGCGGCCACTCAGCCGGCCGGCCGGTCAGCTTCTTGCACATAAGTATCCGATCCGTCGGATTGTTGGGACCTGCTCGCTCATCAACACGAGCTAGCTAGCTAGCTGCAGGCTGCATGCTAGTAATTTGCAAGTTAGTAGGACTGTAGTAGGAGGCAATCTGGCAAATGCAAGGCGAGAAAGTCTTGCCATCCATCATGATGTCCTTGGCCAGTAGTACGTACCAGCTACCATGCAATGAATTAAGGTGACTGCTGCCTCTGCACCACAATTTTATTTCTTCGCAATAATATGACTAGCTAGCTAGAGGCTTTACTTGCCCTTTAAAGACGTGTCCCCCATGCAGGCAAAACCCTGGCCGCTATATATGCATATGCATGTGCGCGCGGTAGATACTACATGGATAGATGGCTCTATCCCTGTGCCTGACTGTGCACGCAGCAGAGGGATCCGAACGATCGATCCAGCAATTAGTTGGATCGGAGCATATGCATGACACACAGCAGCACACAGGGTGTGCGTTCAGTTCAGGTTCCTCCAAAGCGCGCGAGTGCGTGCGTGGGAGTTTGGAATCGGCAGCCAAGGACGACGACGCGCATCTATCACCATCAGACATGCATGCATGCACAACACTGTCATCGTCCCTTACCCAACTACTCACCACCAGAAAAACAAATTATTAATTGTTTCACTTAAAAAAAATCTGGACACGCATGCATTCAACAACGACGGGAAGGCAGGCAAAGTGCCCAGCTGAACTAAAGAAAAATCACAATTATATACCCCCCCCCAACCACCCCCATGCATATGATATATAAGATGTGACCATGGAACATTAGAAATATTATTGTTATTCTTTTGAGGAGGGATTTTGTTCATATGAAAAACTCTCAATCTTAATGCTAGCTTATATATATATCTAAACAATCGATACAAATTAAGTGTGCGAAGTTCTCTTTTAATTTCCTGGCAATAATATATTAAAGTAATGATACGGTTGAGACGAAAAGCTTCTAAGGGCAGATGGTGTTAAAAGATCTAGTTCATAGAATATTTTATTGATTAAGGAGAGAGAATGATAAGTTAACTCTTCATGAAGAGCTAAGCTCACACACTTTTTTATCATGTGTTTATGTTTACACATTTTTCTATGTTAGCATGTCGGGTTACTCTATTTTTTATCTTATTTAAAGTTCATATGAGCTAGCAAGTTGACTCTACTGTTCGTGGTGCCCTAGACGTCTTAAATAGTATTTATTATGATATATAGGAAGTCTCCTTTTGATGCAAGTAATGTCCACCAATCGGGTATACTACCTGACATACACATTGTGTTTTAGCCCTAATAATTTTCCTATGTTTGATATAAAAAAGAAGAAGTTTATTTTCAACTTCTGTGATTCAGGCATCGATCCAACCTCGGCTTCATTTATGTTGTACATATTGGTTACCACAACTGCTTAACTAGGTACACAATTCTTTCGTTTATGATTTATTCATAAAAGTAGAGGATAATAGAAAAACTTCAAATGTTTTGTACATCCAATGTCCTTGATTCTAACTAATACCTACATATTGTAGTATAGGTTTTTATAGTGATCTGTATTATTCAAATAAACTAATTTGTTTCTCTCTTTGTGTTGTCAAACTATTGAATTTGACTAACGATCTTTGTTCCTTACATCCAATAAATTGCTTTGTGTTCATTTTCTTTTAAGGTTTTTGCTTATTAACTTAAATGAATTTGTGAACAAAGTTGTGCTCCATGGACCATGCAAATATCAAAAGGGTACTTGGTTTTATGATCAGAGAAGAAGCATCACTAACTTTTAATAAAAAGTAGGTGGTGAGTTTGTCTTAACTATTATATATTTACCATAAATATAAATGCATATTATAGCATTCTATAGCTAATTCAATTTAAACTATGGCTTCTATGTTGGATCAACAGAAACACCAACATCATTATCATAGCAATATACTTGACCATTTATGAAATATGTGCATGAACAATGAATAGCATTTTAGTAATTAAATATGATCCTTTCACTACCACATGACAAAAAATTATTGGGTTCACTAGTTTCATCTCTTGTAAACATTGGACTTAAGGCTCCACCGCTCCCTCTAGTTCCCTCTGTCTCAACAGGAATAGAAACCTCGTTTTCTGAGGAGACAATCCTTAGTTTGACCAAATATGTACAAAAAATACTAATTAATATTTATGATTCATAATAAGTATCACTAGATTAACCATAGAATATATTTTCATAATAAATCCATTTGAAGATATAATTGATATTATTTTCTAGAAACCTAATCAAACTTGAGATTGTTTGACTCATTGAGAAGAAAGATTTTATTCTTTTTTGGGACAAAGGAAATAAGAAAAAATGTAGTGACAGCTTTGAACACGTGCAATCAGTTGTTCTAACTTTTACCAAATATGTTAGTACATATAGTTTAGTTATATAAAGAATGTTATAAATAAATTTTCATTAAAATGGAAAGATACCCCGGCCCACAGTTCTGTGCCTTTTGAACATAATATGATGATCAAAGTGTGGTCAAGCTAGCTAGTGCCATCCTATTGATTTCAAAAAGTCAGAAAACATTGACTAGATTGAAATTTGAGAGTAAAGTATTTCACACTGCATTCATTACAGGGAAGCTCAATATGTACAATACATACGGGACTCTTTCTATGTTTTATTTTTCACATGTGCTATATATCTTCTTGATCAAATGCTCCCTAAAGGTGTGTCGCATGTGCAAAAAAAGAGGGATAAAACTGCTTGCAACATGTGTTGTGGTTTTCGACTTGTTAAAGTTGGATGAAGGACACCTCATACAGAAGCATGTGGGGCCAAAACCTGTAGCTATAGAAGATGAGAGAAGAAATGCAAGAGCAATGCATGACAGCAACACTAGCCATGAGTGCAAGAAAGACATGTGAGATCATTTTTTTTTTCTAAAAAAAGGATAGAAAGGAAATATGAAATGATGCATGGGATCATAGTGGCCATGATCGTGCATTATACATTTTTTTAGAAAAAAAATTATTCTGGTCTTTGGATAAGTTATATATGTGCACAACCATCTATTTATTAAAACACACACACTGACTAGAAACAACTTGCTCTCAAAGAGCGACACAAAAAACAATAGCTGCCAACTTAAACACCAAGTCTATTAGAAGACAACCATCCATATTCGTGCATTATAATACGTAAATAAAACTTAAACACACGCGCAAAAGGTATCCACGCGAATCATCAAAATGGACAAAATAGAGGATGCAGATTCGCAGAGGAAAAGTAACCAATTCAAGGGACTAAATATATAGGGCATCACTGTACCGAATTATATATGCAATACTAACACACACAATACTATATATATAATAAGCAGTCGATGATGTGTACAAACCTATTATTGGCGGTAGCATTAGAAGTACTGTTGCTAAACGCTTCGAAGCCATTCATTTCACAACCCCTCTGCAGAAAGCCCATACCTCTCATCATCTGCACATGGCCTGCAGCAAATTATATATGCCTGTCAAATTACTGAAATATACAACGGATATATACACGTCTATATGAACATATGTGTGGCTATTCCCTAGGTATTTCCAGATACTGTGTAGTAGCTCAAAGACAAATACTGCTACTTCATTTTTAAGAAAAAGAATGGCAGTGCTTGCTTTATGGGACTGACTGGAAATACTAACGAGGCACGCCCCATGCCAATAATTCAGCTAGCATTATGTTGATATGACCCTACTGAGGAATATCAACTCAGGAAAAGAAATGTTTCTGGAGCTGACATGTATGTAATGTTTTACCTGCAGCACATGATCTGTCTGCCGTCGTTCCCTTCACTGTTCGATACATCTGCATCAAGTAATAAAGCAAATAAGAAAACAACGACATGGAAAGATTAGACTGATCCTTGTGCTGCCGTTTGGTTTACTCTTGCAACGAGCTAAGAAAAAAAATATTAGTTCAATTCGTTGTGGTTGATATATTACTGGTTAAATAAATGATTCAGATGAAAGAGACAAGTACTTGGCGACAACTACAAACAAATGCCAAGAAGAAAAGGGTGAAAGGGGCTGATCAAGAGATCATCAAACTGTGTTATCTTTTTGTTTGGTTCTTGACATGAGAAACACTAGTACTATTAAGCTGTTTGCTTCCCAGCCTCAATACGCCACGCCAAACCGTGGCGGACTGTGGCGGTGGCGGAGAAAACCAACGCCTAAGCTGTGGCGAGATTTTACACTGGGACCGTCTCTGGCTGCCGCAGCTTTTTACTCAACCAAACAGCAGCCTTCTGATGTGTGGCGTGCCCCAAGTGAAGTATGGCGAACCATGGCGGGGAACCAAACACTCTCTACCAAAATCTACTGAGAGAGAGAGAGAGAGAGAGAGAGAGAGAGAGAGAGAGAGAGAGAGAGAGATTATATTAAGGTTCTGGTAACTTGCCTGCAAGTGGCTCTTAACATGAGCCAATGTGAGATCCTTAATGTTCATGAGCTCCAGCACTGACTTTGGCGTTGCTCCTAGAAAGAAATAAAGGTACAATTTTTATTTTGTAACCAAATGAAACTGAAACCTTAAGACTGACAGTTCAGTGAAGTGTACAAACGCTACAATTAAGTGGAAAGAAAACAAACAAAAGCACTCCGTATTTGTTATAGGCAAGGGAATATGTCAAAATAATCATGTGAGAAAAATATAATAAAAGCAGATTCACCCAAGATTCCAAGAACTTAATAAGTCTTGAACAATTGAACTCTCGATCCCCAGTTCCCCACTATGAGCTATATATACAGGAAACTGGATCATCATGTCGTTATTAACGACAAGCGCAAAACCAACGAATTGAAGCACAATCAATTGACTAACAATTTAACAGAACATGGATGAAAATATGGAAGCAAAAGCAACAAGAACGACGTTCTTGAAGAACGTACTCTCATGGCCGCCAAGGAGCTCTACGGCATGCACGAAGTGTGCATGAAGAGCCGTGGTCCACCTCATTCTCGGTGCTCTGGAGCTCCTCTTTCTACCACCGCTGCTATTCCCAGATCTCGTTGTGCCTCCGGATGACGTCGCCGATGAGCTTTTCTTGAACCTCTGGATCTGGCTAGGTTGGTGCAGCCGCTGCTGCTGCTGCTGGATGTCGCATTGGCCATCCTGCTGCGCCGTCGTCGTCGTCTCAACAAGTCCAAGACACAGCGTCGGCCTGGAGAACAACACGCCTGTTTCGTGGTTCGCTTGGCCGCCGCCACTGCTCCTAGCATCGTCGGGCGGCGATGGAGGGCGGATATGGAGCGAAAGATCGGGGGCCGCGGCGGCTGTAGCCATTGCAAGCTGCTGCTGCACTTCTAAATTGGCAATAGAGCCTTGCGCCTGTTCTTGCTCGAGGAGAAGAAATGGATCTTGGTGATTAGGTCATGAGTGGCATATGACATATGGTTTTTCTTGTATAGGGGTTGCGTCTGTTGTGCGTGTGGGTGAGGAGGGAGGTAGTAGATGCCTGAGATCAGAGGAGCAAAGTTTGGTATTGTTATGCTGGTACAATTATAGGGATAGCCCGCAGCTAGTGAGGTTGCATTGGACGACGAGGGTGATGAGAGAGAGAGAGAGAGAGAGAGAGAGAGAGAGAGATGGAACGCGTTGAGAGCTAGGTGGAGCAAGCACCAATATATTTTTTTCCTTTGTGTGCCGTTTTGAAGGGCCGGGCAGGGGGTACAGCGTAGCACTGAGACATGGTCCAAACCGATGGATGGGATGCATGGACTGGAAACTGATTGACATGATATGTGCACCTCTCTGAGCTAATGAATGTGTCGTTTATATTGTATGTACTGGCTTCAGCATATTCCTTCCTCACCATGCATTTAGTCAAGTGGCAGGACACGTACGGTATTTCTTTGAGCATGTATCGACCGATTATGTCAAAAAGGTAAAACTAGGAATCATGAGTGAGAATTGAATGTCAAAAAGGTAAAACTAGCATGTATCGACCGATTATCACTAGGAGAGGAGTAGCAATTAAAGAGCGTAACGTGCATGTGGGTGCACCGTTTTATTGCAGTAAATTAATTGCATAATTAAAGCCACTGGAATTACTAGTATATACTCCCTCGGTTCAAAATTATGTCACTTTGACTTTTTTATATCTATTTTGCTTAGTATCTAAATATATCGTATATTTAGATATAATAGAAAATTTTATATACTAAAAAAATCAAAGCAACTTATAATTTGAAACGGAGGGAGTAGAAGTTTAGCTATGAAAATAAGGAGTACAATCATAGGAATTTCAGTTAGTCATAAGATCGAAAATACTGGTATACATGTTGAACCGGATTTAGGTCATGTGTTTGGTTCTATATAGCTAGCCAAGCCAAATTTTGACATGGCCTAGGACTTTTTTGCCACGGTTTGTTTTCAGAACAAGACTATATTTGGCTAGCCAAAACAAATTTATTAGCTTGTGCCCGCTACGTACAGTTAACAGGGACGGTGTGGGTAGTGGGTACTCACACGGGCGGGAGAATTGCTAGCACCAATTTGGCCGGCTGCATTGCCATGCACCAAGATGATATATCAAGCTGCTATTTGTTGCACTTGCATCGAGAGGTTTTGAATTATAGAGCTTTAAATGGAAATATCTTCTAAACAAATATCAAATTTATAATTTGTTTTTGTCATCTTATTTATTATGATTTTATCTACAAAATAAGATCATGGCATATTTTTCAGTGAAGACAAAATTATGTGACATTTAGACCGCATACGCTATACTCAGAGTTGTGATAATTTTTTTTGCCATGGCTATCATCAAACACCTTTTTTTATTACCGGCTGCACTTGCCAAATTTTAGCACTGCCCTAATTTGACGTTGGGCCAAATTAGGCTCGTCTTGGCCTACAACCAATTAAACAGATTGTTACCTATAGTCTATAACTACTCTATTCGTTCTAAATTATAAGACGTTTCTGGCTTTTATAGATACATTGCTTTTACTATGTATCTAGACATAGTATCTATATATGTGCATAGCAAAATCTACTATTTAGAAAAATCAAAATGTCTTATAATTTGAAACATATGGAGTAACTGTTTTCCGAACCCTAGGAAGTAAGCACATACTAGTATACGTACCTACCTAATACTATGGTACGGTGAGTGGTGTGATTAGCTCCCGGTCCTACCTGAATACTACTAGTAGTAGATATGAGCTCCACGCATATAGTAGGTTCTTAGTACCATTCAATTTCCATTTACCACCCCAAAAATTCAATTTCTAGGGAGAAATATAATTCCCACACATCAAACCAAGGTTCATAGTTGACGCCATATATTTTACATATGATTGAATTCAACGTTATTCCTTTATAGACTGCTAGAACACATTTTTAATCTCCTTTCTAGACTGCTAGAACACATTTTTAATCAGGGAATGGTATATAATTTATTTGTGTATTGGGGTCTACCAGAAAATTGCTCGTTTGGTATGAATTACTAAGAGAAAATTATCTATTTGGTGCTAAAACAAATCAGTCTTCCTCATTTGGTACTCAAAAATTCAAACTTCTTTATCTGGAACCAAGTTAATTTTCTTCCCTAGATAGCACTACCGTCCATTTTGGATAGTAACGGTATCCAGTGGCTTGCAAAATGACATGAATGCCCTTGTTTGTAGAAGAAGTCCATTCATGTTGTTGTTCATGTTGTGCTGGTGTGCCACTGCATGAGGCCGGTGCTCCATTGGGCGACGCTGCCCTGGCTCCATAGCCGGAGCTTGAGCACACCAACCTGGAGCTAGGGGAGGCCGTCCCGCAGCCTCTGCGCAATGAACCACAGCCGGGGGATTCTGCCCCATCATCCTTCGCTCGACGAACCACGGCTTGGGGAGGCTGGCCCATGGCCTGTGAGCATGACCGCCGCTACCGGCTGGCGAGGCCACTGCGCCGCCTCCGCCATGCCGTGTACTGGCCGGAGGGGCTGCACTGCCTCCACCATGCAGCGGGCTGGCCGGAGCGCCGGCCCGCGAGCCTGCCTCGCCGTCGGGACCGTGCCGCTGCCTGCCCCCGTCGAGTGAAGCTGCCCCTCCAGAGGGCATGCGGAGTTGGTGTTGAGCGCCGCCAACTGCAAGATCCTCTGCTCCTCCTTCCACCATCAATCTAGGGTTTGGTATCTTTATGGGAAGAAGGTCGCGCAGCCTCACGGGAGACAGGAGCGCTCAGCCGCTCAGGGAGTCGAGGGCGTGACTAACAGAGGGGTATGTTGGTCATACGGAGAAGAAACTTACATGGTCAAACAGTCAACTATTAGATGGATGGGCAAAATGTACAATAGTGCCATCTAGGAAAGCAAATTTCAACTTGGTGCCAAATAAGGAAGTTTGAATATTTGAGTGCCAATGAGAAAGACTGATTTGTTTTTGTGCCAAATAGATAATTGTCTCAATTATTAATTGTAGAGCAAATGGAAATCATATATTATATTTTTCAATGAAATTTAGTGAGTAATTACAACTGGAAAATGGTCACTACAACTGGTTTATGACCCCCTTTGAAACCAATTCTATTCAAGATGTAAGCATGGGAACTACTCTTAGGAAGCCCATCTCTAGAAATCGATTACATAGATGGCACTCTTAAGAGGCCTGCAATTGGCCTCTAGAAATAGTTGTCTTGAAAAAATTCATAAATTTTCATAAGAAGTTAAAGATCAATTTTACACCCAAATTGTAGTTGACAAGTTTTTAATTTGAAACTATTTAGAGTGCAAAAATTTAATTTTAAGCTCTCAGACTTTGAATTGGAAATTTAAAATTTAGAATTTTCAAACAACCTTGGATGTTTACCCAATCTATATTGAAATTGTAGTTCTCAATGCACTTTGTAGTTCACAAGTATTTTTGAAATTGTTTAGAGTCGTCCCAAATATTCATTTTTTTTAAATTATTACAATTTGAGCTTCAAATTTTTGTAATTTTGTATGGAGACACACCATATGCTAAAATTGTAGTGCTCAATATGATCTAAAGATTTATAATTGAAACATTTTTCATTTGAGATTGTTTCGGGTTCGAAATTTTCAAAACAAGATTACTAAACGTTAATACAAAAGGATAGCATCTTATCTTTACTCACAAGTGAGTGTACAATGTAGTGATAGGGAGGGAACGCGCAAGACACGAGACGTCACGGGTCAAATCCAACAAAGTGCACGTGCACATATTTCCAACGCGCCCCCGCCTCTTAAAATGGGTTTTTGTAGTAGTTAGGGTTGTGATATTGAAGAGTATTAATCCCGATGCTTGCCACCAAAATTGCATCGCCTTCTATACCTAAATAGGATATGACCCTACTATTAGACTTTTTTGATAAGTGTGTCTATCCCTTATCATTTGCTTGCTCTCCTCTGTCGCTTGCTCACCATATCTAGCCTTAGCCTCCATTCTGGTAAGTGTCTATTCCTTGATCTGGCCTTCCATACAATCTACCACCGCCATCCATGACACTATGCTAAGCAGGCTTGGAGTTATTTGTCCTATTGTGTAACTATAATATGCACACATTGTTGTAAGTAGACTTCCCAATGCCCCACCTCCTAAAATGGATTTTTTTTCTAGTAGTGGGGGTTATGATTCCCAAGAGTATCAATCCCGATGCTTGTCATAAAAATTGCATTATCCTTTATACCTAATTAGGAGACCATACTACTGGATTTTTCTACAATTTGATGAAGCTACATCATTTGCCTATCATGATAATTATCAGCTCAGTCTCCTTCGCCTCCTTACATCACCATCTTTGGCATCCGCCTCCCACTACTGGAAATGGGAATTTCCCTGACAGGGTAATTACCGATAGTCTAAAGCATTTTAGCAACAGGAAAAATGAAAATAAGTTTTTGACTATGAACGAAATAATTGATATAGCGACAAGGAAATAAAAAATTGTCTAAACGGGCAACCGTCATAAACAATTTTCTTGTTGATACATGTAGTAGTCAATCATCGTTCGGATCCTAGGCTTTTGACCTGACGGTCAAGCCAGATCATTGTCTACTCTAGGATCCAACAAGGCCCTTAAAACTTAAGTCAATTGATGGGCGAGCTAGTTAGTAAGATAGCAGGATGGGAAGGAAGATACCTTAACTTTGTTAGGGACAGGAAGACGGTGATAGATTACCAACCGAACCCCACTTTCTAACACCTGGCCGGGGTGTTCGCCGGCATCAGACCTGCCAAGGCACATGATCATAGCTTGGAACCTTCTTTATTTCTCTTCTACTACTCTATATATAATACATAGTTACTTTTTGATACTACACACATCACATA